ACAATTTGAAGCAAATGTTCTGGAAAATTTCTGAGGTAGAAATATGCTTGGTAGGAAGTTGCCAAAATAGTCAAGTGTAGAAAGAAACCTCCTAGCAGTTTGGCCTAGCTGAGGTCTAGTAGTCCCTGAAAATAGGGCCTCTGTAGAAGGCAGTCAATCCAGGGGCCCAAGTGAAAGGTGGGAAGAATTTTCAAACATGCTCCGCAACAATGGTAGGTCAAGCATGCATGGTTCATGCAGCCCCAACTTGACATTCTCCCAGACACAACCACCTGCAGCACCTCGAGACAGGCTAAGTTTAGACACTGAGGTCCCAAAAGACTGCCTCCATTCAGCTACCTGCACCCTCCCCACCAATATCTACATAGCATCTATGTTGTCCCAGATACTGTTCTAAGCCTTTCCCACAAGTGAACGTTTAATTCTTATGAAATAGATACAATTATCCTCACTTTACAGATGAGGCAATTAAGGCACTGGGTGAAGAATCTTTTTTTTCTGAAGAGATTCATTATAATTGAAGAGGAAAAATATTTAATACATCAGAACGAAATCAAACATATAGAAAAGATCAATAACTACAAGTAACTCATGAGAAAACATGTTTTTGCTCAGTTGCTACATAAACTTCTCACATGATAAAAGCCTTTGATTGAAAACATTCCAGGAAAGCATATCTTTCACTCAGAGTGTTTGGAATATTTTTCTTTTCATAACTCTGTATTTCATGACAGAGAGCTTGGCCATAATATTCAAAATGAGCACTCTGCATTATTTCTTCCTGATTTCTCAGATAATTAAGATAAATTAAAAAGTCATAACACATTAAGAATGCATTTTGCATTAGTCTAAGGAATCTAGTATCATCCAGGGAGGAATCTTGATTGTAACCCCACAGCTGAGGTTGGAGGCAGGTATCCTGTCTCCACAGGGCAAGGAGCTTTAGCAGCTCTTTGATGTTTGCCCAAGCAGAGGTAGAGAGAGGAGTGAGCTGTGTCTTGGTGTGTAAGATCTCAAAATTGTCTTGTCCTGTCCCTCCCACTCCCCAGTGATTTCTCCCCTGGGTCCTGAAGTGACCTCTCTCACTGCTGCCTTCCCTCTCTGGAGAATGTGATGTGACGGTGGAGTCTCCTGCCCTCCTCTTCCTTCCCAGGCTGGGAGAGGAATCCTTGCACATGCATCAGCTGCTCCCAGTGTGTTCAGCTTTAGGGTCTTTCACATCCGTTTCTCTCTGGAAATCTGAGGACCCAGAGCTGCTCCAAGGAGAGGTAGAATTGAAGGAAGGGGCAGGGTAATTTAGAGAGGGATCACAGATTTAGGAATATGTCAGCAATGGATTTGAACCCTTGCTTGGCCACTCACTGTCATAGATGGAATAGTGCTAACTTCTCCCAAAGATTTTGTATGTGTGTATGTGTATGTGTGTGTGTGTGTGTGTGTGTGTGTGTGTGTGTGTGTGTGGTGCTGGAGATTGAACCCAGGCCCTGTCCATGTGAGGCAACCACTCTGACAACTGAGCTATATCCCCAGCCATCCCCCCAAAATATTTACATCCTTATCCTTAAAACTTGTGATTGGTACCTCACATGGTCAAAGGGCCTTTGCAGCTGTTATTAAGTTTAGGATCCCGAAATTATCTCAGATTATCCAAGTGGGCTTGGGCCACAGAGGTCCTCACATAAAGAAGGCAGGAGAGGCAGAATGACATGGACCCAGGAGCCAAGGGATGTAAACAGACCCTAGATGTTGAAAAACAGGTCTCTGCTACAGCCTCTAGAAGGAACACAGTCCTGCTGACCCATTTTAGACTTCTGGGCTCCAGAATGTAATATAATACATTTGTATCAATTGAAACCCTCAGGATGTAGTACTTTGTTTTAGCAGCAGTAAGAAACTAGTTTACTAGCCATATGACTTTGAACAAATTCCTCAACATTAAATTCACTCATGTGTGAAATAAGAATAATAACACCTTGAAGTGTTGTATTAGAGAAAATATTATATCAAAAGTCTGGTTTATGACAAAACTTTATAAATAAGTGTTTATAGGCTAGGACTGTAGCTCAGTGGTAAAGTGCTTGCCTCAATGTGTGAGGCACTGGGTTCAATCTTCAGCACCACAAAAAAATAAAGATACTGTATGTTCATCTACAACTAAATAAATTAAAAAAAAATAATGTGTTTATGAGTAAAGCCAGGCATGGTGGTACACCCCTGTAGTCTCAGCCACTCAGGAGGCTGAGGCAGAAGGATCACAAGTTCAAGGCCAGTATTGGCAACTTAGTGAGACCCTGTCTCATAATAAAAAGGGCTAGGGGTGTCACACTAACCCAGCATGCATGAGGCCCTGGGTTCAATCCCTAACACACATACACACACATACACACACACACACACACACACACACACACACACACAGAGAGAGAGAGAGAGAGAGAGAGAGAGAGAGAGAGAGAGAATGTATAGAAAAGAATGGAGGAGAAGCAGAAAAAGAAAAAGAGAAATCATGTGGTAAAACTACAGTTGATTCCACATTATGGCCAGTTCCTGGTTGACATGGGTTTTATGAAAACCAAGTCTACCCTAGACCCATCATCTGGCATTAATTCATTTTTAACTTCAGGACACTTTTTTTTTTTTTTTAAATACTGGGGATTGAACCCAGGGCTGCTTTACCGCTGAGCTACAACCCCAGTGCTTTTTATTTTTTTTAAGTTTTGAGGTCTTAAAAGCTACGTTGCTTAAGATCTTGCTAAATTGCCAAAGCTGACCTTGAATCTGTAATCTTCCTGCCTCAGAATCCCAAATTGCTGGGATTACAGGCCTGCACCACCATCCCTGGAAGACTTGAGGACTCTCTTATCTCCCTTAGGCGGGTCAGGGGCAACCTCTGAAAGCGTTGCCTCATGAATGAAAAACGGGTAAAGAGCAAGTATAAGGACCTCCCCAACATATGACTCTGGCACCCACAACTGATGGAATAGATCAGATTTGACTTCTGACCTTCCAATATTCCTGATTTGACTAACATCCCCTCTGAGGGGATGTTCAAATTGCAAATCCCACATGAATCCTTCTTTGTATAGAAATTGAGCAATTGGTTTGAGTCAACTCTTGACATTCAGATAGCCATCTGCCTCTGGTTTCTCCACATCTTCAGCATTTTTCATTCCTTCATCTCCTCCTCTTTGTTTTTATTTTTCTTTCTTTTATCTTGTGTGTGTATGTGGTGTTGAGGATTGAATTAATGGCTTTGCACATGCTAGGCATGTGGTCTACCACTGAATGACATCCTCAGCCCCCTTTTAACAGTCTAGGTAGTATAAAATGATACACAAAATGCAAGTTAAATCCACTTTAACTTGAATAATTATTTTGGGGGAATTTTTTTTCATGTTGTGCTTTTTGGCTATTTGCACATTTTCCTTTGCTCACTTATATAAATAAAGTTAGTCATCTTATTATTGAGTAAATTTATTGCTGGTGGATACATAAAAGGATAAAACTAATCTGGAAAACTCTTCTGGCAGTTTCTTTTTTTTTAAGAGAGACAGAGAGAGAGAGAGAGAGAGAGAGAGAGAGAGAGAGAGAATTTTAATATTTATTTTTTATGTATCGTTTTTAGTTGTCGGCGGGCACAACATCTTTGTTT